AGAAAAAAAAAAAAAACAACAAATGTCTTGTCTTACACTCGAGGTACAAAGTAATGGCACGAGTTAAATGCTCTTTTCCTTTAATCCCATCAAGAAGTTCGGTTATTGGAAAAAATGACATCTCAATGACATCTGGCGAGGATAGGACGGTTCTTGCCCATTGGGTGTGGCTCTGCTCGAGATCGTCCCCACCCCTTCTTCTGAATATCACTGTAACATCCTGTAGCCATTATCAGTAATCAGTAATGATTTATCATTATCAAAATAAAGATCAAATTATATGAAGGAGAAAACCGATGTTTTAATACAATCTAGTGTCGTACAACACTGTTTTTATTATTAGTAAATATGTATATATATTACAGTTTTTGCAGAGTGCAAGGTGAACGTTACACTGCTTTTAGTACAGAACACAGAACAAATATCTCGGTAGTTTTGTACCATTAAACATTTGCAAATGTAATTAGGTTCAACAGGAAAGTGGAAGTTGGGAAGTAAAAATACCAAAACTTCTAAAAAGTTCATGTATCAGCATCCAGTACAATGACATATTAAACTACTACTAAAGAAGATTTTTCAAACTTAGCTGAGATATATTTCATTTGCAGTAAAAATACAAAATTTAACCACCTGAAGCAGAAACTATCATGAGGTAGAAAATAACTATAAATACCTCTTTGCCACTTCCAGATAGGTAAGGTGCAGTAGCTGGTTGTGGGTATATCTCACTTCCCTGAAATTATAAGAGGGGGTAAAAAAAAAAAAGCAAATGATTTCAAACAAATCAGTGCTCGGTATGAAAACAATCAAAAGTCCAGCTTTGCTAGATTATCTAACAGATAAAAGAGAAGGAATAAGAAAAACCAAAAGAAATGGAGCACAAAATCAGAAATACAAAGAAACCAGCCTTATCCTTGTATTTGAGTAGGCCTGAATTTGTAAGGCCTTCTGCACTGGAGAACCTTTGGTTCCCAATATCTTGCGCATAATTCTTGATTTCCAAGATCGAGAGAGGTGACGAGAGGTGCTGTCTCACGTAGATTACGTCTTTACCCCCAATTGTTACAGATATAATTACATGTGTACCAAAATTCTCGATGAAGCTGCAAACAACACGCAAAGAATAATTAGGAATAGATAATGAAATGATCCCATGGTTAGATGTGCATAACTTGCATGACTAAAAAAAACTATCAATTGCCTTGCTAAAGCAGGTGGGTCCCACGTTCTCGGTACAGCCCTTCTGACCGTATCACTTAAAACCAGGGCTGAATTAGAAATCTGGAATTTAGCAACCGGAATGAAAACTCCATCCATACAAAGGGACTTTGTGGAGGCAGCATCAATATGCCTTGAGCCCGTATAGCTGAATGCAGCATTGAAGCTACCGAGTGGAGTATGACCCGATAAACTAGCCTTCTTGTTGAAATATTCCACCATCTGTTTTAACAGTATTTTCAAGAAAGCTCAATAAAACATGAAAAAAGTGCATTACCATTTACCCCCAGCATTCAATATGGGGAAGAATCTAATGTGTGAACAGCTTAAAATACATTAACATGCATCTTTCAAGATTTACGACGTCTAAACGAACATCTACACTAAAGTAAAAACATCAACAGCTCCTTAGGTCATTTGTGGTGAGTATTAATTATTAACAAGCATACACCACGATATAAAATGGGCCCACAGATTCGTTCGGCATTGTCTTGAACGAAAAAAGTTAAAAAACACACTCCCCAATACATTTACAAGCACCAATAGTAAAATCCAACATTGCATTAACCACATCACTTACGACAAAGCAATAAAAGTGTCAACTCGAGTTCAAACACGAACATATCGAATAGTTTGAACAAAACCTGCAGAATTTACACTCATAACCTACCGACACGCGCAAGAGAATGTATCTACGTCAAAAACACGTGTCACATTTATTTCAACTACTTCGGAAAATCTTTGCCATTAAAGCCTAACACTAACAGCATACCTCATTGTAACTGCAGACACCAAATCCAGCACGGCCACCTTGCTCGTGCGAATTCTTGATGTCCCTCGAAACATTGTGCACCACTAAGTTGTCTGATAAGTACAAATCCCTAGTGTGTTCTTCGTCAATTTCCACAATCCTCGAACCTGCCACGCCTTTACAATAAAGCAACCTAGTATCATAGTTCACATCAAATCCCCTTCCAAGAGCCTGTACTGAATTTACAGCTGTATGCAAAGCTGCTGCATTTTCTCCCATATCATCACCTTCCCCTACTTCCCTAAAAATAGGAGAAATTCAAAAGGGGCAAGAAAACTAAGCAAATTGGATACCTCACTAGACTACCTGTACAATCCCAATTAACCCGAGTCACAAAACCCAGCCTCAACAATCAAGACAGAATTTTTCTACAGTGATTCAATCTCAATTTCCTTGAAAAGCGGACCCATCGGTGGTTTTTTCTAATTCAACCATATATTATTGCATCAAAATTTAGATCAGATAGTCATCAAGAATCAATCTTTAGGGAAAAATTCCACCCCCTACTCACTCTCTCTCTCCCTCTCTCTCTCTCCGACACTCTGCTTTTCTCTCACTAGAATAATCAAAAGAACCGGTCTTTCGAGACTGAAAATTGACAAATTAAGAAAGAAAAATTCGCATCTTTAACAAAAACAGCTTACAGCTACAGCGTAAAATTTCAACTAGATCTCACTCGCTCTCCCCTCCTCGGATTTTCCCAGGTAGACGAGATACATTCACTGCCCGTAACTATTACCTAAATTTTGCCCGTTCTACAGTTGTTTGTGCGACCTCGGGTGAGATTATACTTGCCGTTGACTCTTGAGACTTTACTTTTAATTCTCACCTGTCTTTGTTTCTTTCTTTTTGAATTTCTGAAAAAAGGAAAAGGTTGCACACGTGGCGCTGCTGCGGTGCATTACGTCAAAGCATCTGGACCGTTGATTATGTTCACACTACTAAGCTGGTGCGGTCAAGATGGCGGCACGTGGGCTGACTTTGACTGATGGGGAACAATTGATTACGGGCTGATTTGTGGTTTCGTGACCGAGCTTCAACGCGTGTGAGTATTTTGAGATTCTTTGTTTTTTCACAATCGATTTCAATCCAATGAAATCATTTTTAGTCTACACTCATGTTTTAAAGTGTACTTAAGTGGATAACTTACTTTTTTTTTTATGTATCACATCAATTAAAAGTTATTCTTATTTTATTTGCAATAGAAACAATTTTTAACACAAATGTTTAAAATAGTAGGTGGCACTTGACGTGTTTACCGGTGAGCATAGTTATCTATGTTATTTTACATAATCCAGATTTCATTAAAAATGAAAATGTCATGTTTTATTGAATGCCTTCTTTATTATTTAGTTTCAATTTCATAGAATGTTATGTAGCCTACTAAAGAAGTAGCTAAGCAAATGAAATAATCATATGTCCAAATTGAATACTTTATCATTAATTGCATCCTCAGACAACATAGTATATAGTTGCAGAGGTTAGATGGTCCAGAAATGGTCTTCATAAACCGCAAATCACCATGAAGATCGGATGGTCTTCATAAGTCGGCCGACCATCCGATGCCCATTTTTTTCCCGAAAATAAACAACTCCCCACCGAACCCAACCACTTTTTCATGCCAACACAAGATATGTGCAGAGAAAATGGAGCTATCGATACTTGTGACAGTTTCAGTTGGGATGCGAGTTAATATTCAACAATACATCATTCGACTTTAGCAACACCTCCAGCTGGCATGCTGCTTTCGGCCACTGTCTCCTTGACAAACCTAAACAAGGTTGAACGAAAGAAAATTTAACTTTTATGCATATGTGCCTGATAAGGAACACAAGTGCAAGGAAAAAAAAAGGCTTAATGATAGAATGTGGGGTATTATGGGAAAAGAATACCTTGCAATTTTATCTCGAGATGATTGCAAAATGTACATCGCAAGAATGAATGAGAGTATCATCCCTGGTGGTGAAAAAAAAAACGATAACAACTAAGAAATCCATCACAGGATATTTCCAGCACGCATCAAATGGAAAAGGAGGCTAGCCAAATGCAGCTATAAGTGCTTAGAACCAATAACTATACCAAATGCCCCAAGACAATTCATACAAAATATTATAACACCACAAAATCAAAACTCGGACGAGTTAACAACTCTTGCAAAGAGAAATGCAATTACCCCATCCAAAGAGAACATAGAATCCAGAAGTGACATCTATCTCCGACTGCTCTTCCCTGTTGGTCAGAAAAACGTGTGTTCCGTATTATCATCAGAGGCGGTGATTAATAGAAAATATTTATTGCACATGGACACTGAGAAAACACTTTTCAGTTACAAATTAAAACTGGAATTGGACCATTCAATCTATTTCAGCGGCTCTCTGCCACCCTTTAGACGAGCTACTTAATGACTTCATATTAATCCATATGAATTGAAAACACAAGATAGATTTAAAAGAGAAACAATCCACAAGTATGATATCATATCTGTTGTCTACTATACCAATGCTGCATTTGCAGACTATTACTTAGCTTTAATCATAGACCATTTCTATCAAAAAAGCTCATCCATTTATAGCCAAAGGAAAAGGAGAAATTTACCATGTGTATCTGACAAGTATATGTTTCGGCCAATGTTGCTGATCCCAAAATTGTTTACGGATGTCTGGATGAAGTTCTACATCTGCTCCATCAAAGAGTAGAGGGAAACTTCAGCATTTCGCAATATTACAATTTAACTGGTAGAATCATATAAGAGGGATCCAAATGTGAATTCATATAATTATATTAACTTAATATATTAATTGACTAACTATCCAACATGACTTTCTAAACCATATACTAATTGTAGAAATCACAGGTTTTCTTGAGCCATGCTACATTGGATCATATTGGTACACTGATTATTGTTCAGAGAATTTGAATAGTATTTCCCCATTAAAAGATAATGTAAATATATAATGAACTGCGTAAGGGAAGAAATACCCCCTCTCAATACAGCACATGCCCTGCATACACTTATTTTTACCAAAGGCACTCTTCTACTTCAAATAGTAGTGGTAGCTAAGACCAGTCATAAGACACTATATTCGAACACTTTTAACCCAATAACATATGTAAGGTAAGACACTGACATGCTTCTTAAACTGAACTATAAATGTGAAAGATTTATAGCACAGGAATGGAGACATCAGAGTTAGAAAGAACGCCATACAGCTGTTCGGCATATCAATAACTTTTGCAGTGACACCTAGCAAATCAGCTCCCGAGTACCTCTGAAAAAGAAACACAGAACTTGATTAGCACAGTACACTTACCAAATGAGCCCATCATCTACTGATAATGTACTGTCCGTAGCTGAATACAGCAAAATGATAATAAAAAACTCGAGGTCTACAAGGAACTGAGAAGAACTCAAATGCCATACAAAATTAAGTCAGAAAGCATACTACGCGGACCCCCAGTTCAATACCAAAATAAAAAACAAGATTACAGATGATTCAAGTTTCATAACATATTAAATATAGATCTCACGAACTGGGCCTTACCAAATTCATCTCAATCATTGGAACTTCTGAACTCTTCCTGTTGATCACAAAAAGCCAAGGGACATAAAATTTTTCATGTCCAACTTGAAATGATCTGCACCACAATCACTCTCAGCATAACTACCATGACTCACTCAAGTGATTAAAACGTAAAGATCCTGGCAACTGATTGTCATGGGATGAGTCCCGGTAACTCAAAGTGAAATAATCAACAATATATATAATATGACAGGTATCAAGATGCTAATAAAATCCACCATGGAATTCTTAGTCCAAGTTGACAAAAACACAGAATTCTACGAGAAAGTTTTAACACGGCTCTAGATAAAATATCAACAGTAAGCTGATTTCTATTCCCCGAAAATCAAATTATTCGATGGATACCATTCTTGACAAAATAACAGTAAGATAGTTAAATGATTCATACATTTTGTAAGGATCAGCTCCAGTATATCCAGTGGGTTTGGGTATCGGGATCAAAGTCTACAAACAAGAATCAATCAGCAATTAACACTGCAAACATCAAATAGAAGAGCTGATGAAAACAACCCTACCCCTAATAGCACAACCTCACGATTAACAGCAAAGATCGGACAATGCCTGCCGATCATATCATGCCAAACAGTCCTCGTCTGCAAGTGCCAGAAACAAAAAGGAAATAGATAGCTCGTAATCAACAGAAAAATCGTAAATCGACTCGCATCAGAATCATTTACAAGCGGGAGATGCTTACAGAGTGGTATTGCCCCATGCGGCTCATCGATACGATGTCTCCGGGTCGATAAGCGAGTGAACTCGGCACGGCTGAGCTGAGTAAGAGTAGAATCAGCACCGCCATTCGAGTGGCTCGGTAATTTCCCTCCATGGTTTTCGTCAAGTGGCCGATTGCAGGTGGTTAGGGCGTACGAACCAGCGAACGCATTTGGGAATTTGACCACGATTCAAATTTTGACTTTTTTGGGGGTTTTGAACGTGACTAGTATGATATCCATGTACTTTACTGGTGCATGAAAAATAATTTAATAAAAAAATAAAAGAATTTAGTTATTGTGAGTATATACAAAATAAATAAATATAAGTTTTATCAAACAAAAACTGCTATACATGGTATTTTATTTCAAAATCTCAAAAATTTCTTTAATTCTACTTAAAATTTATCAACTTGGAAAAAAAAAATATGATGAAAGGACTAAACTTTATCAACTTAGAAAAATAAAATAAAAGATGATAATTATAATAAAGAAAAATAAAATAAAGGATGATAATTATAATAAGGGACGTGTTTAGTTAAAATTTCATTAATTATATTATTCATATAATTATAATATATAATTTCAATTCATCATTATTCACTAGTACAGAATTCGTGTGATGCACGGCATGCACAATTTTAAGGCTATCTATCTAAGCTTATAATTATATACATGAATAAGAAAAAATGTACGGGATATATATAGTACGTGACCCGTGTGAAGCACGAGATATATTTATTTGGAGAATATTATATTATAAGATGCAATATTCAATAAAAATTTATAATACGCAAGAAGATTGTACAATTTTCAATAAAAGTTTTATAATATTCAAGTGGAGTCTTAAAGTCTCTTGTACATTATGACTACTGACAAAATAATAGTTTAATCAATGAGTTTCCTTTCATTGTAGCCAAATTGTGAATGTGATTTGAGGAGTACAACAAATCGATATATAGCTGACTTGCTTTTTTCATTGTAGTTTTTTTTCTTTTTTTTTTTATAATGAATTTAAAGATATTCTAAAATATATCAAAAATTAATTTTTTTATTACAATTAAGAATTTTACTAAATATAAACTCTTAGTCTATGGTGTTAATCAACGTTTAAGTCTAAAAAATTAGGAATTTTTACATATTTTAATGAACGTTTAAGTCTAAAAAATAATAGAGTTATTATAAGTTTTTTTCTACATCTTTTAAAACATTAAATATGAGCATGTTAGGGCTAAATTGTAAAATAATTAATATATTATCTCACTAAAACATTTATACTAATAAAAATTTAATTTTAGCATATAAATTTATCCCTTGATATAAGAGAAAGTAACAGTTTTACTTATTGTTGTTCACCATATAATATTTAATTATTATTTGATTATATAATAAAAAATAAATATTGTTAAATAGTGTAGTAGAATTGTTATAAAATTATATGATTTTTTTTTTACAATATGGATTTAATATTTTTTTATGATTTGATAATATAAACAAATCTATACTTAACTTTGACAAATAAAACAAATAAATACTTTAGTAAGTATTTAATGTATATACTAAATAGAAATATATTTGGTATAATCAAATATCAAATATAATCAAATAAGTCAAAGTGTACATTTTTATTTGGTATTTAATTTTTTTATTATTAAAATCTTTTTATTATACTTACCTTTTTAAAATAAAATAAATAAATAAATCAATTAAATAAATAAAATATTATAATACCAAAATAGTAATGACATTTAATGCAGTTGACTTTTGTGGATAGTAGATGTAGTAAATAGAATCTCCTTTTATATAAGTATAGATTGTATAATACAGAAATAATAATGCAATAAATATTGTTGACTTTTCTTTATACTAAATCTGGTAAATGGTATACCTTTTAATATAAGTATAGATTCCACAAACAAAGACACGTACTAAAAAATGAGCTAAAACTTATCAACTTGAAAAAATAAAAAAATATGAATAAAACCTTAGTAGAATAAAATAAGGAAATAAATATTTGTGCGATAACAAGTTTGGTAACGAGAGAGATTGATGGGAGATAATAATGTATAGTGGAAAAATTATTTATGGTACTTTTCAAGCCAATTTTGTTTTCAAATTTTTTATCCGAATATAAATACAAAGCATGATATTATGACATGTAGAATTCCAAAACATACTAGCCTGCCAATTAAACTCAACACGTTTTGAATCAATATATATATAAAGGGTATGAGCTTGTTAATAATGCCAGAGATCAAATCCCCTGCCAATCCAAAATCTTCGTGAAATCACCAACCCCATATCATGTAACTTGTAGATCTGTTGCATGGAATGAATTGTTCAATTAATTAATGATCGGTTCTTTAAATTTCGAGAAAATCCTATGCCAGCTTGTTACAGGTAAGCTCGACTTTTAAATATTAATAAATGAGCTGAGCTCTTATTTATTTATTGACTTGTTTAGTTAATACTTAATAGTGTTGTTGGATCAAAAATGAAGTTCAAGCTATCAAGAGTTCAAACCAATCCACTCATTTATATACCTCAAAGCTAACATAAAATAATCTTTTATAACTCGAGTAATAATATGAGGTTTGATCAAATTTACATTTTAAACTATATTACTTTTTTTTTTTTTCATCAAGAAGATAATTCATTAACCTCATACAATGTTCTCTATGTGTGTTGGTAAATGGCAATGTGTCTGTCTTTTTATCTCCATACACACAAGGGAGGAGAAAGTCAAATGTTGAGTAAATTGCAACTTCTTATTTTAATGTTAATAGCTATCCAATTGATTTCAGACATTCTTTCTTTTTGAAAAAAAACATATATTGTTTCCCTTAAATAGTCACATAAAAATACAAAGGCCGTATATTGTGTTAGTATTATATATTTTTTAATTTGTCTCAATTATAAAAGTTATCTTTTTGAAATATATAAGTAAAGATGTATGAATATTATTAGCTTTGCCTGATGAATTGAAAAGCGTCGACCGTACACACAACTACAGTGCAATCACAATTAATGGCTTATATTGAAGTGTGTTTTAGGAGGTTGACATTTGTTCTTCTTTACTAGCATTTTCTTTTCCCCTTGTATTTCAATCATCATTTTAATTAATCTAGTAAGCTCACCAACATTTACTCCATGATTCTACATATTCTATACTACTAGTAATCAACTTGTGCATTTGCACAGAGAAAAATACTTTAAAAAGATAACAATATAAAAAAAATAAAAATATAAAAAGATAACAATATAAAAAAAATAAAAATAAATTAATTCATGAAAAAATATGAATTAAGAAAATAATTCTCAAAATTGATTTTCATAATGTAAGTGCTATGGAAGAGCCGTTACAACCATTTTCTTTATGTTAATACATCCGGCCATTTTCATGAGTAAGTATGACTTAAAATTTGGATATAATTTTGTAACTCCCTTGATTGGTTTATGATCATAACTTATGGCATTCAAACAAGTTATTTTGTAACTTAAAAATGATATTGAATGTTGAAAATTTTGGAGAGATAATAAAATTTAATGCATGATAATATAATTAAATGCTATGTTGCTCCTCTTTATATATATATAGAGATTTCCTAATGATTAGTGAAGGTAGACTTGTTAAATGAAGTTAGCCGCTCGTGTCATTGGCTTATTTGGTTAACTAGTCGAGATCGGTTAGACTCATAAAGTCTTGAAAATAGAAATTTATATGGAATTTTTTACTGCTTCACTCGTTAATATTAACTAGTACGTAACCCGTGCGATGCACGGGATGTACAATTTGGAAGAATAATATAACCTCACGTGCATTATGATCGAAATTGAAATCATTAAAATACATAGGAACATTGTTGAATCATAAAAAGTTCGGTAACAATCATATATTATTAAAAACCTCCTTGTACACAACATTATGAGTTTGATTATTTGGTAACTCCTCATTATCACAAACTAATAGTTTCAAAAGAGACAAATCCTAAAAATCAAACTAATATTTTTGGTGAACAAAATAATATTTTAGGATTGGTGAACGAACTAATAGTTTAGGATTTCTAGGATTTGTCTCTTTTTGGTGAACAAACTAATATTTTAGGATTGATTATATAAATAAGGCTACCTGTTTTTGGTGTTCTTTTCATTCATTTTCATTCAAACAATCCGATGACTTGTATAATGAAATCCGAATTAAGCCGAAATATTTAAAAAAAGAGTTTTTAAAAATTGAAAAGTCAAGGCAATCAGTTCAGATTAATTAAAGGTCAAAGAATATCCACTCCTTAAAATAAAGACGTATGCTATCATTAACCAAATATTCGGTTATTGATATAGAGTGGTTACCAAAAAATAGAACACGATAAGGACGCTTCATGGAAATATCAATGAGATAAGGTCATAACAGATCGCTATACATTTTAACGATAAAAGCTCAGATGGAATGATTTATGATAATTATGTCGTAATTAATGAATTAATTAAATGTGTGAAAATGACATATTTAATGAGAAGTGTAAAAAAGACATAATTAATGAGAAGTGTGAAAATGACATAATTAATGAGACGTGTGTAAAGGACAAAAACTTACTAGTTTTGGAAAATATTTAATGCAAATCCGACATTGACTATAATTTGACCTACTATTTTGGATAAATATTAATTCTTATTGTATAAGTATAGATAAACATACCGAACTAGAGCATGTTTAGAGACTCGTTTAAATAACAAAACAAGCTCAACTCCACTCCACTCAATAATTGCTTGAGCTTAAAGCTAGCTCGAGTCTTTTACAGTTGTGTTTGGTAAATATATAAGCTAGCTTATAGTTTATTCAATTAGCTTATAAGCTTTCTGTATTCAATAAGTTTGATTTGGTAGGAAGATTTTTTTTAAAAAACTCAAACTTATTTCATGAGCTTTTTTGGGTAGCTTTTCAAACAAGCAGTCTATTGAAAATTTTATTTCATCTAGCTTATCAGTTATAAACTAGCTTATCATAAACTCAAAATTCACGTCACGCTACAAGTTAACTTATTAGTTATAAACTAGCTCATCAGCCTATCCTATTTTTGAGAGATTTTACAGTCTCGTTACGGAATCATTCTGTCGGGATTGGTAACCATTAGATCAACTATCCACGACGGTTACATGATGATCTAATGATTACAAATCCCGACGGAATGGTTCCGTAACGAGATTGTAGCATTTCCCTCTATTTTTAT